AGGTTGCTCTGTAGAAAAATACATTTATTTATTTTATTTGTCTTTTATTTGTCTGAGCTGTACCTTAAAACAGGCTCGTCCTAACCTTTAATGCAGTAGTTCTCAACCTTCCTACTGTTGCAACCCTTTATTACAGTTCCTCATGTGGTGACCTTCCCAACATAAAATTATTTTCATTGCTACTTCCTAACTGTAATTTTTCTACTGCTATGAATTGTGATGTAAATACCTAATATGCAACCCCTGGAGGTTGCAACCCACAGGTTGAGAACCATTGTTTTAAGGCCTGAATGAGCCTACTGTTAACTTTAAATCAATGGGATGACTTCAGAGATTTCTCTCCAATCATCGTTTCAGGGTATCTCCGGTATCTCCATCCACTCAGGTCCACTCAAAAGCCTTATAACTTCATGCGATCAGACCTGCCTTTCCTGCTTTGTAAGCTCTGGCTGGTTTAAATGGATCATGGTTCTCTTGGTACTGGTCAGTTCAGAGACCAAGTCTAAGCCAATTAATTGTGTGTGACATGGTCCAGAAAGAAGTGCTGGGGACAATCCAAATGATACAAAGCTTAGGCCTTCCACTCTGTCCTCAACAGAAAAGAGCAAGCAGGGGGATGTCAGAGTGGCTTTCTTGACAGAAACCTACCTGTCTTGAGACTGTGAGAAAGCTGCCTTGAGGTTGAAACCAAAACAGAGAGAAGCTGAGCCTCCAGAAAAGCAAAGAAACGGAACATGAGTCCTGATCTATCTCCTAGACTTTTCTTCCATTGTATGAGCAATAAATTCCCATGTTATTGTGATAGTCTGTAAGCGAATTTTGTTCTACTTCTCAAAGACATATTGAAGTAGCCACATCACCTCCTCCTTCACATTGGTTCCCAGAATTCCTACTACCGACTCTTCATTCCAAAGCCACATAACAACCAAGTTATAGACAGAAGCAATGGACTTCAGAACACCAAATTGTAGACAGAAGCAACAGAGTTAAGATTAGATGGCTTACTCAAAGAATGTTACCCTAAGAGAGCTCTGAGAGCACTGTGGAAAATATAACCAAACTTATTTTATTTCTTATTTATTCCTTTTCCACCCTCCATGATTTTATTTAGTTTTTCCTATTTCTCTTATGAATCTTCCACATCTACCTGTTCAAATCCCACCAGTTTTAAATCATTTAAACACAAGTGCTTGCTTCCTTCAAAAGCTTCCCTGATACCCTCAACTGGAAAAAGCCAACTCATTTCCAGATGATGAGCTGCTCTCCTACATGTAGCTAGACTGGGAACTGCTTGCCTACAGAGTACCTGATTAGATTCTCTTCTTTGGACTATTTTAAGCACTAACATAAGGTGTCCATAACCTTGGCATCTCTGATAAAGTAAATTCAGGGACCGAAAAACCACATGTGCAGAAAAAGCTTGTCTTTAGGAAATTGTATGCCAAAGAGTTGCTTCTCTTGGGGTGGTTTCTGCATCACAACCATCAGCATCGTCTGAGTATGTGGAAGAAATACAAACATGTGGGACCTCTGAACCAGAGGATCTTGGGTAGGTCCCGCAACAGACATTTTACAAACTGTCTGCAATCTGATGTGCTTGGAATTTGAAGAACAATTAGCCTCAAGAATGCCTTAAGCTATAGATTGAGAAGCAGATGAGCCTGGTCATCCTGGAGCAGGTTGAAGATCAAGTGAAGATGGAGAGCTGTGCTTCCTGAGATGAAACTGTAGTAGCCATGGAGGATCAGGCTCTGGAGTGGTAAATGCATGGTGTCCAGCCTAGCTATTCAGATCTGAGTGTCCCTTTAGCCTGGCCATCCAGTCCATTGACTTGGTCTCCAGATGGTCCTGGTCAGGTATGCATCTACAGAAACTCCAATAAGGGTTCTAGGTGTGTGTGTGCGTGTGTGTGTGTCTGTGTGTGTGCATGCACACACACCAGTCTTGTGGAGGTCGCATGTGAATGTGTGTGCACATGTGTGCAGGTCCTAAGACAACCTCAGGGGTTGCTCCTCAGATGCCACCCACCTTGTTTTTGATCTTGTTGTTGTTGCTATTTTTTATATTTACATTTTGTGTGCAGATGGTGGGCATTCGTGTGCTCCAATATGGATGTGAAAGTCAGCAGACTCTTGCAGGAATCAGATCTCTCCTTCTACTATGTGAGTTCCAGAGATTAAACACAGGTCAACTAGCCAGTGCCTCTACCCAGTGAGCCTTCTTAATGGCTTAGTTTTTTTGTTTTGCTTTCAAGACACTACCTTTCATTAGCCTATGGCTCACCTAGCAGGTTAGGCTGGCTGGTGAACCCCAAGGATCTGCCTGTCTCTATCCCTACTGACATTACATATTCACCATATTGTATTACATATTGTATTCACCATAATGCCTGGGTGTTTTGTTTGTTTGTTTGGGTTTTTTTTAATGTGGGTTCTGGGGATTTGGCTTATTTCCTTATGCTTGAAAGGTAAGTACCTTACTGACTTAACTACCTCCCCAGCCCTAAACATTCTGTAGTGCTCTTTTCTTTCTTTGAAGGTATTTATTCCCTCATTATTGCCAGATGTAAAACACACTATTTCTCACTCCCAAGTTTCTTACATAATCTACATTTTTAGTTTTCCTTTGGGGCAGAAATAAGCTGAGAGCCACAGGGCTGCCTGTGACCTTCCAGTAACTCAGGCAAAGAATGTATCGAGATACTTTTATCTATCTGGGGAAAACCCTGAGAGGGTTCACTAAAGGAAGGAACAATAGAGGTGTCTGCTGTCACAGTTCTTTGGAAATATCCCATGAGCCCTAGGCAAGATTCTTGTCTCTACTTATGTGCCTCATGGGCCTCATGGGCCTCATGGGCCTCATTAGCCACTACAGGTCTCACAGCTCCAGTCTACAGTGTGGTGCTGAGACGGAAACCACACTGCTTCCATGATGGCCCATCCAGGTGCTGGTTCTATTCAACCGCGCCAACCACATGTCTCCTTAGAGAATTCCTATCTCTTCTCCCATATTCTACCTGATCTGTTTAATTAATTTGAGGCTAAACTATAATCTTTGAGGAAAGACTAGACTTCTGCCTTACTTTACATACTTCTCACAATAACCACAGACATTGGCTTGTACAAGTAGAATTACCCTACTCTCCATTCTGCTATGGCTCCCCTAACATTCAGACTTTAACAAGGTACCAACATATATTTATTCATATATATATATATATATATATATATATATTCTGAAATGATGATGATAAAGCTTTGCTTACTCTTTAAGATAATATAACATATCATTTTCAATACAAAATGTATTTTCTCTTATTTATCATCAATATATTCTAAGGTAGAATCCTTTTTTAAAATTGTTTTGTGACACATTATTTTTAAGTATAGAATTTTCCTCTGAGTGTCTAATTTTTCATTGTGTCACTGACAATAAGAAGGGTTTTTTTTTTCTATTACTCTGTGTAGTTACTATGGTCTTATCCTGAAGTCTTACAGGAGAGACTTTAATGACAAAGGTGAAAGACATACTTTTGTTGAGGAACTATGGCGCCGCAGATACTTCAGATGTTTGTGTTCATCCCACCTCCTGTGAACCCTGTTAAAATGGGTGCTATCTTTATTTTACAGGTAAGAAAAACTGAGCTGGAGTTAGAAGTGGATTTCACATTGAGCTCCAGATCCTGTCCTTCCTTCTTGAAGACTATTCAACTTCCCTCAGCTCAGTACAGAATAGGGAGGGAGTTCCCAGGCACATTCTGTGAAGTAGTGTAAGCAATCTCCCTGCTTATGCTAATATCTACACAAAGTATGTGTCAGGCTGGTCAAAATTAATGTAGTTGAAGCTTTGTGCATGATTTGAATACAAACTCCACTCTACTAAAAATGTCCTCCAATCTCATGTTTGGTGAACACTTCGAAAGGGCAAAGTACTCTGAGATTTAAAATGTGTTTAGATCCTAGTTTTCAGTATCTGCACCTGCCTGTTGGCCATCAGCACTTTTTAATACAGGATGTGTCAAGTTGTTGCTACAGAAGCCTGCTTGCATCCTTGGTTTTGGTTCAGAACTCTGAGAGCACACACGCTCTAGTCCCCCTTAGCTGGCATGCTGGCACACTCTAGTTCCCATTAGCTGGCATGCTAGTACACTCTAACCAAACTACATGCCTTTAGAACAGTGCTCTGGTTAATCGTGCGTAACCACTCTTGGCTGAAGGAAGGTTACCTTTTTGTATAATAAAGAAGCTGTGGAGAGGAAATCATTTGAGCAAAGGCAGGTGAAATGCTGAACTTGCTTTAATCTATTTTTAAATGGTTGTCAGATGTCCGAAAGTGACACCCTTAATGGGACATTCTAAAGTTTAGATGTATTCATTAAAATTTACTAAGACCCAACACAATGGTGAATCTTTATTATTACCATTATTGATTTCCCCTTTTAAGTGACTTTTTACCTCGAGGTCTCTTTCATCTGTTTCATGACAGTGAATGTCTGTATAAGGCATTTGTAAACAGACGATGGCTTTCTGGCAACTTGATCTATTACTGCACAACACACTGCTGCCCACCTAGAAAGCTAACTTTTGAGCAAACTATTCAGACACCTAGGGCTAGTATCCACTGAAATCAGCCTCAATTTCTTCAAGTTTGCAGTGGATATGATCTTCATGTACAAATTGGTCCTTTGGACCATTTTTTATGTCTGTTGTCTCTAGCTGATAAGACAGATATGATGTGAAAGGAACAGTTTTAACCACTGGCAGACCAAAATAAACAAACATTTAAAAATGCTCCTGCATTTCATAGCAGTCAGAGGGGACTCAACACATGACCGTGGGCATTTGGCCACATTAAAGCCCTATACACCACAATATCCCATCCAGCTTTGGTCTGTTTCAGAAAGAAGCAACCTGCTTGGTTCTCTGTTATAGAAAATGTCAATGGTGATATATTTAAAGTACAACCAATCCTTGTTAAAAACCAAAAGTCTCCATACTTACTTTTCAATACTGTTTATCCGACAGATGTTATTGGAGGGGCGGCTCGTTGTTGGGGTCCCTTGGCTGTATGTGAAGCATTGATTGGATGTCCTTCTGTCCTTGTCCCCTGACAAGGACTCAAATTCAAGGTCTTGTCCACAAACAGATCAAAGCGCAGTTGGTTCTGTTTCAGAAAAACTCATGTCTTCCTAAGAGGGAAAAGTCCGTGCCCAAGCAAGCTCTGGAAGAAGAGCATGTTTTGCCTGCCCTTGAATGAACTAGGTCACTGCTGAAGCTGGAGAATATTTTTTAGCATCACTGTGATGAAACTTGAGGGCCGTTTTCTGCAGTAGGTGCGACACTTGTTGACACTGCCTGCCGGAGAGGCCCTGGCAAAGGGACTTGATGAAACACAGTCCTAGGGAGCTGAAATCCAGAGTAGTTGTCACTGACGCTGCTGGGGACGGACAGCTCCCTGCAAAGCCCATGCAGAACCTTGACTTAATTGCTCTCCTCTAAGGAAAGCAAACACATTGAGGGAATCAGTCATTGGAAGTCATGGCAGGAAACCCTCGGGGAGGGTAAAAGAGCAGTGAAAATGAGAGCTTGTGTGTGGTCCATTTAGAAATGGCACTGAGTCTTCCTCTGAAGCTCTCTGAGCCGAAGAAACAGAAGGTCAGGTCGCCCCTCCCCCACAGCCCTTCCTCTCTTCTCATTTTGGCTGCAGTAGTGAGAAATAAGAGAGAAGCTAGATGTAGCGATACATGCCTATAACCAGCACTCAGTAGACCAAATTGGGAGTATTGTCACAAGTTCAAGGACAGCCTGGGCAACTTAGAAAGACCTGTCTCGAAACAAAAACAAAATTGGTCAAATAACAAGAAAAAAAGTACTACATCCCAACACTTGGGGAATAGAGGCAGAAAATCAGGAATTCCAGGCTATTCTCAACTGTATGATGAGTTTAAGGCCAGTCTAGACTATATGAAACCTCATCTTAAAAAACAGTCAGGACTCACAGAAGAGAGCCTAGCGTAACTGTCTTCTGAGAGGCTCCACCCAACAGCTGACTAAAACAGATGCAGAGTCCCACAGTCAAACATTAGACCAAGCTAGGGAAGTCTTGTGGAAGAGTTGGGGGAAGGATTGAGGGAAAATAATGACTCCACAAGAAGACCAATAGAGTCAAGTAACATGTACCCTTGGGGGCTGTCAGGTTCTGAACCACCAACTAAAGGGCATACACAGGCTGGACCTAGGCTCCTCTGGACATATGTAGCATCTTGATCTTCATGCTGGTTCTCCAACAACTGGAGCAGAGACTTACCCTGACTCTGTTGCCTGCCTGTGGAGCCTGTTCTCCTAACTGGGCTGCCTTGTCTGGCCTCAGTGGGAGAGGATGTGCCTGGTCCTACAGAGACTTGAGGTGCCATGGTGTTGTTCCTTGGAGGGGGAACCTCCCCCTTCTCCAAGGTGAAGGGGAAGAGTTGGGGGAGAGATCTTTTTGAGGGGGAACTGGAAGGAGAGGGGCTTTGATTGGGTTGTAAAGTTAATAAATTAATTAATGGGAAAAAAAGAGTCAGGCATTGGGGTACACACCTTTTAATCCCAGCACTCGGGAGGCAGAGATAAACAGATCTCTGTAAGTTTGGGCCAGCCTGGTTTATATAATGAGTTCCAAGCCAATCAGGGCTACACAGAAAGACCTTACCTCTAAACAAACAAACAAACAAATAATAAAAAAAAAATCAGGAGAAATCATAGAAAAAATGCCATAGGCTCTTGTCCTCCTGTTTGTCAGCAATTGTTCCTGTTTCAAAGTAGTTTGTAACGTGGGCATTTCTTTGAATTTTGTTCAAATCCAAGAAAGGACATGGAAAATCCAGCCACGTCCTTCGGTAAGTCCCCTTGCCTCACTACAAAAATATTTTAATGCTCGATACCTGGAAACTGACTAGCTAGAAGGAAACCTCTCAAGAGACAGCGATGGCTAAAATTAGCTCCTCTAAGTGGGTGACTTTGAAAGGGACATGACTTCACTCTGTGGTGAGCACTGTGCTCCTCAAAAGCAATTTATGTGTGCATGCTTCAGTGTGTGCCTCGCTGTTCTTGGCAGAAGATGTTCACAGGGAAAAGAGGGGGGGAAAAGTCACTGTGAAGTTATTAAATATCAAGACATAGCTTGTTCAGCTGATGGGTTTGTCAGTTTTATTTGCACATGAGAAGAAAGACAATGAAACTGAAAGTAACTCTGAAATAATACCCACCCCCTTGCAGACACACCCATGAAATGAGACTGTACAAAAAAACCTGTGACTGTAGATATCAGTTCCTTTCAAGTAAAGCTGGAGGTCTTCTTACCTTAAAGTCTGTTCTGAAGAAGGGGAGAAAAGGGTATGGGAGGTGGGGAGGGGGCCTCTAGAAAGAGACCCAGAAGGTGAGAGACTCTAAGACTCAATGGGATGACCCTAGCCAAAATGTCTAACATTGGGAAGAGGGAACTCTTAAGAGCACACCTCCAGTAGATAGACAGGGCCTCAAGCAGAGTGACAGAGTTACTAACCCACAGTCAAAAATTCTAACCCCAAACTGTTCCTGTCTAAAAGAACTGCAAGGACAAAAGTGAAGAAGAGACTGAAGGAAAGATGACTCAACTTGGGATCCATCTCATGGGAGGGCACTAAGGCTTGACACTATACTGATGCTAGGATGAGGAGAGGCCCTACCAGCAGCTGACTGAGACAGAAGCAGATACTTATACCCAACCATTGAACTGAAGCTGGGGACCACTATGGTTGAATGTGGGGAAGGACTGAAGAAGCTGAAGGGGAGAGCAACCCCAGAGGAAGACCATCAGTCTCAACTTACCCAGTCCCCCAGGAGCTCCCAGAGACTGAGCCACCAACCAGGAGCATACATGGGTCAGTCTGAGACCTCTGGAACAAATATAGCAGAGGTCTGCCTGGACAGGCTTTAGTGGGAGAAGATGTGCTTAATCCTCAAGAGACTTGAGGCCTCAGGGAAGGGAAAGATCTGGTGGGAAGGAGCATCCTCTTGGAGGCAAAGGGGAGGAGGAATGGGATGAGGAATTGGGGGGGATCGAGAGGGGGGACAATGACAGGAATGTAAATAAATAAAATAATAAAAATTGAAAAAATCGGGATGAAAAGGAGATGGGACAAGAAAGCATAAACAAACTGAGCCATTGAGACAGCTCAGTGGGTAAAGTCACCTCTCCTCAAGAGTGACAACCTGAGTCCCAACCCAGGACTCACTTGCTAGAAGGAGAAGACCAATCCTGCAGTTCCTCCTCCAACTTCTATGTATACTGTGGCACATGCACATATATACATTAAATACATAAGTAAATTAATTTACTAAAAAATTTAGGAATAAACAAATGCCAGGGCTGGCTCAACAGTTATGGGCACTCACTGCTCTTCAAATCCCAGTACCCACATGACAGCTTACAACTGTCTGTCCCTCCAAGATCTAACACCCTCACACAGACATCCATGTAGGCAAAACACCAATACACATAAAATAAAATTAAAAAAAGAAAACCACAAAGCACAAAACCAACAAGACTAAGAAGAAGAGGAGGAGGAAGAAGAAGAAACAACAAATGTTGGACAAACAGCAGGAGATAAAACCAAAAAGGAACAAGTGGCCCAAGACAAGAGATCAATAATAGGATGTGGTAACAAAAGAAGACTTACACAGAGTTCTTATGTGGGACAGTCGAAATTCACCCTAAGGCTTACTTTTGTTTCAAGGTCAGTTCCTTGAATTCCTAGTATCTGTCTCCTAATAAAATAAATGTCATGCTATAAACATCTGCAAACCCACGTTTACTGCACCGGTATTCTCAATGGCCCAGTTGTCAGGTCAGCCTACATGGTCCTCAGCAGATGAATGGATAAAAGAGACATGGCACGTGTGTGCGCAATGGACTAGCCATTCACCCATTCGGAACATTAAGTTATGTTGTTGACAGGAAAATGGTTGGAAGTGGAGATCACTGTGTGAGATAAGCGAGTCTCACAAAGACAAGTAGGGTGGTTAATCATTGTCAGTTTGACTGGACTTAGAACTTACTCCTTGAAAAACACCTCTGGGCGTGGGTGAGGGTATTTCCAGAACATTCTGCTGGAAGACAAACCTGAATGTGGGCAGCATTGCTTTAAGAACTAGGGTTCTGGAACGAGCAAACATGAGGCTCGCCAAACAGCTTATCATCCTCCACTCTCTGCTTCCTCACTGAGGACGGCATGTGACCAGCTGCCTCACGTACCTGATGATGTGCCTCCTTCACCATCATGGGTGTATCCTCTCCAAGTGTACGCCAAAGCAAACCGTCCCTCACGTAGGCTGCTTGCCTGGATTTTAATCGAGGCACCCAGGAGAGTAGCCAACACAAAAGGCATCATGTCTTTTCTATCACAGGTGCAATTGGGCATGTTAGATTTTTGTCAACAAGTTAGGGTCATTTGGGAAAGGGGATCCTCAATTGAGAAAGTGCCTCCATCTGGTTGGCCTATAAGTATGTCTGTGGGGGGCAGTTCTTGATTAATGATTGATGGGAGAGGGCATGCAGCCCACTCTGGGCAATGCCACCTCCAGTGAAGGTGGTCTTTTTATTTTTTTCCTACACAGGATTTTTCTGTGTCGCCCTGGCTATCCTATCCTGAAACTTGCTCCATATATCAGGCTGGCCTTGAACTCAGAGATCTGCCTGCCTCTGCCTCTGCCTCCCAAGTTTTGGAATTAAAGGCAAGTGCCACTATTCCTAGCCAGTATACATAAAACAGACTGATCAAGCTTTGGGAGTAAGCCAGTAAGCAGGACTGCTTATGGCCTCTGTTTGAGTTCCTCCCTCGCATTCTTGCCCTGGCTTCCCTCCATGGTAAATTTGTAAACTGTGAGATGAAACAAACCCTTTCCTCCCAGATTGCTTTTGGTAATGGCGTTTACCACCATGAACTAGAACAGGTGAGCAGGGAAACAGAGGAAGGACTATTAAAGATATAGAAGGTGGAAGGACAAGAAGGTGTAATAGAACGGATGAGGAAGTCAACACACATATAAGCGTGTACAGAAATGTTATAATAAAGCTCATTGCTTTGTGCAATTTATATACTAATGAAAGTAAAAGCTTCATAGATGAAGCTGAAATATATGTGTATGTGTGTGTGTGTATGTATGTATGTATGTATATATATATATATGTGTGTATATATGTATAGGTATACATGTATGTATTAGATCTGACCAT